AGTTATTGAAGCAGATTGATGTTCAGGATCGCTATAAAATGCAAAAATTATGGAGGCTAACAAATAATTTGAAAAGGCAGCCGCAACCAAATTGGCCGCTAAAGTTAGAGATAGCTAGTGGCAGTAGTTGTAGGAGAAACGGCAATATAACGTGGACACGAAGTAATGAGGAGAAGGCTGAAGCGTTTGCATGTCATTTGGGAGAAACGCTTCACACCAAATCTGACAAATACACAGGTTGTGCGTAACCTGATTGCAGATGAGCTATTAGAGCTAAAGCGAAAAAGCTGGAGCAATTCGAAGAGAATACAGATAGTATGTCCGTTCTGCCATTTCGTCCGATAAGTGTTAGCGAGACTATGCTGAGATAGATATGCTAGAGTTAAATAAGTCTCCTGGCATGGACAATATTGACATAGGGTTATTAAATCGTTGCCTGAGAAGGCGGTTATATACTTAGTACTTATATTCAATTGTATATTGAGGTATGGGTTTTTTCCTAGGCAATGGAAATGTGCAGGATCAGTATGATATTAAGCCTGGTAAAAGTAGGAGATATCGTCATATAGACCAATTAGTCTACTAGCAGGTTTCTCAAAATTGTTTGAGAAACTGCTGCTGAATAGGCTATTCGAATGCAAAGAGTTTGCAAATGCTATACCAAGCCACCAATTTGGGTTCAAAAGACCATGGTACCGAGCAGCAGCTGGCCCGTGTGACTCAATATATATTGAATGCTTACGAGAAGCGACAATATTGCTCGGCTGTATTTATTGATATCAGCGAAGCGTTTGACCGTGTATGGCACGCTGGGCTATTAGTAAAATTAATAAAATTGCTACCACTTGCACTGTACAACGTGCTGGAAAGCTACTTGGCTGAGCGAATATTTATTGTAAAATGCAACGACGGCATAAAGTCAAGGCCTGGAAAGTGTGTGCAGGCGTACCAGGGCAGTGTGCTCGGGCCTATACTATATACAATATTTTCTTCAGACATGCCACTACCTAGACTTGTAATGAAAGAATATGCATCGTTCGAACCCAATAAGATGCAGCTATCAACATATGCTGATGACACAATAGTTATGTGTGCATCCCAAAATATATTGGAGGCAGTGAATCTAAATGAAAAAATACTTAATACATTTGATGCGTTGGGCAGAGAAATGGTGCATAAAGATAAATAGTAGCAAAACAGCGCATGTAATGTTTAGCACGCGGAGGCTGGATGCAACACTAGTAAGGCTGTGTCCAATGATAAATGGACAAACGATCGAAAATAACGGGCGGCACCGATACTTGGGCTTAGTATTGGATAGAAAACTGACACTGAATATACACATAACTCAGCTTTGCATAAGGCTGCGTGGAGTACACAAAAAGCTGGACTGGTTGCTGGGAAAAAATAGTAGGCTAGCTAGAAATTGCAAGGCTGTGGTATATAAGCAGCTGATCGCACCTATATGGCAATATGCGCTTCCTGTATGGGGAGCACTGGTATCAAATTCGCAAATAAAAAGGATAGAAACAATGCAGAATAAAATCTTGCGGGCATGCATGATGCCAGTTGGTATACAAGGAATCAGACGTTGAGGGATACGTATGGGAAAAAGCGTAGATGAAGTATCAGTTGGCTAGCGATAGATTTGCGAAGTCACTAAGCTGTCATCCGAACATTGAAGCTCGGAAACTGATACTAGAGCCATTTATACCAGTGCGGCTACTAAGGCCCAGGTACACGGAGCAATTGGATAGATGCATGGCGCCACTACGGCAGCAGTTAACACCGCAGAGAGAGGTAGCTGAGGAGAGGTTGCCAACGCTGCTGCAGCTAGAAGAAGATGAGCAAGAGGCTGAAAGGAGGGCGCTATGCTTGCCGAGTGGGAACAGAGGCGAGCTATGGGGCCACCAAACGCTTTGATGAATGCACAATAAACATGCTTTCGTCGCAAACTTAAAGCGGGCACAATAACTCGCGAAAACTTAATGCTGCTAATCGACAACCAGCCACCACAGATACAATGGCTAATTCTACCTGAGCTGCAGCACGAACACCTGCAGCGGCAGCATCAGGAACTAATACGGACGGCAGAGCCGGCCCCAGGGGCCATAATACAATCGGCTATAGATACCGATGCATTGCAACTAGAGCGCAGCCTTGATATGTTGGAGCAGGCACTGGGACAGGAGATGGATGAAGCGCTTATTATTGCAGGAAATATATTCAAATTGAAATGCAGCAGCGGCTCGCAGACAATGAGTCAGTGCAGCTGATACAAATGAGCTGCAAATGCAGCATGGCCAACGGCTATGCGGCAGCAGCAGCAATAACACACAAATGCTACTAATACTAACAATGTAAACAATGATAATGATAGTGATTTTGATAATGATGAATTTGAATTGTTCTTGTCAACTTACTGCAGAAGAAGGCTGAATTGAATCCCTCGTTGGTACACTCAGTACAGCCTGGCCCGCTCTCCATGCGGCGGCAAAATAACTTATATCCCTCGCTGGTCTATATAGTACAGCCTGGCCCGCTCTCCCTGCGGCGGCAAAACGATCTACATCCCTCGTTGCAGCCTGAGACTGAGCCCGGCCCGCTTTCTCCGCGGTGGCATAACTATGTCCATCCACGATGCAGCAGCAACTGCAGCCTGATTCGCTTCCTGAGCGGCGGCAAACAATACAAATTCCGAGCAGTTGCCACTGGATTTGCCTGGGCTCATTGTGGAGCGCCTGGTTGACAGATGTCCAACGACGCAGCAGCTGATGGAGCCTGGCCCCCCTGAGAAGCTGGAAATGCAGCTGGTGCCTGTGCGGGGGGCAGCCTGGGCCATCACGGCCGCCATCGATGACCGAGCATGATTTGCAGCAACGACAATCGACGCCTGTAAAGCGAAAGGTTGAGAATTATGCTGCCTGCAAAAACGTAGATGCCTTACCAAATGGCGTCAATTCGGAGGCGACTGCAAGGGCCGCTCCAAGATGAGCTGCTGCCTGACAAGCGGCAGGCAGCAGCAGCGTATCGGCCAGGAGGCACTGGCTGTGGCTGGGCCATATCCGATGTTTTTCACAGCAGCCATACCTGAAAAACGAAAAAAGGCAATTTAGACGGACTCCGCAATGTAGGAAAAAAGCACGTACCTGCCTCCCAGCACACGCGGAACTCGTGCGGGCGCCCCTGCAGACGGAGCTGCAATGGTCAATGGCATGCTCCGGCCTCGAAGAAGTCCAAACTGGCCGACTGAGCGTGGCCCATATGGAATCCAAAATGCACACCATGTGCACGACACTTTTATATGCAGCGACTCCTGTCTGCATAGTGGGTCCATAAGAAGCGGCCAGCACAATCCAATAAGCCAGCGGAGGCGTCGTTCGGATGCGGTCAAATGCCCATGCGAGGCTTATTGCGCATCAGCAAATGAATGCGTCGGCGCCTGTGTGGCGGCCTGTACATGGCTGGCGGCGCCTGGCGCATAGAAAAGCGCGACCTCTGAGCGCAATTATCAAATCTGATAGCAATTTCGACATAAATCTGTAAAAAGAAATATTTATAATTAGTTATATGTTAAGAAATTAATTTTTGCAAAAATGCGACTTACCTCTGTTAAAAAGTTTTCGATTTCCACGTTGCGACGGGAAAAAAAAAAAAAATGTATATGCAGAGCACATGTAGTCAAATCTAACTGTATATTGCGTAGCGTTGCCACCTATGCAGTGTTGCCACACTGACAGTTTTAAGTTGTTAAAGCAATTTAGTATTATTAGGGAATTAGTACTTTTAGTCTTTTAGTATTTTAGTATAAGTATTTATTGTATTTAGTACGTAAGTTCAATACAGACACATTCTATGTGTCTAACACACATGTTTATAGAGTTAGGATACAATGTTGACAAATAATGTTCTTATATGTTGCTAAAGTGAAAGTAATGGAAAAGAATAAAACAAGTCACGGAGGAATTTCATTCCACTGCTGACATATATTGTGCTCGGATGCACTCAACTTAAAACAATAAACATGCTTCGTCGCAAACTTAAAGCGGGCACAATAACTCGCGAAAACTTAATGCTGCTAATCGACAACCAGCCACCACAGATACAATGGCTAATTCTACCTGAGCTGCAGCACGAACACCTGCAGCGGCAGCATCAGGAACTAATACGGACGGCAGAGCCGGCCCCAGGGGCCATAATACAATCGGCTATAGATACCGATGAATTGCAACTAGAGCGCAGCCTTGATATGTTGGAGCAGGCACTGGGACAGGAGATGGATGAAGCGCTCATTATTGCAGGAAATAATATTCAAATTGAAATGCAGCAGCGGCTCGCAGACAATGAGTCAGTGCAGCTGAATACAAATGAGCTGCAAATGCAGCATGGCCAACGGCTATGCGGCAGCAGCACTAACAACACAAATGCTACTAATACTAACAATGTAAACAATGATAATGATAGTGATTTTGATAATGATGAATTTGAATTGTTCTTGTCAACTTACCTGCAGAAGAAGGCTGAATTGAATCCCTCGTTGGTACACTCAGTACAGCCTGGCCCGCTCTCCATGCGGCGGCAAAATAACTTATATCCTCGCTGGTCTATATAGTACAGCCTGGCCCGCTCTCCCTGCGGCGGCAAAACGATCTACATCCCTCGTTGCAGCCTGAGACTGAGCCCGGCCCGCTTTCTCCGCGGTGGCATAACTATGTCCATCCAACGATGCAGCAGCAACTGCAGCCTGATTCGCTTCCTGAGCGGCGGCAAAACAATACAAATTCCGAGCAGTTGCCACTGGATTTGCCTGGGCTCATTGTGGAGCGCCTGGTTGACAGATGTCCAACGACGCAGCAGCTGATGGAGCCTGGCCCCCCTGAGAAGCTGGAAATGCAGCTGGTGCCTGTGCGGGGGCAGCCTGGGTCATCACGGCCGCCATCGATGACCGAGCATGATTTGCAGCAACGACAATCGACGCCTGTAAAGCGAAAGGTTGAGAATTTAATGCTGCCTGCAAAACGTAGATGCACTTACCAAATGGCGTCAATTCGGAGGCGACTGCAAGGGCCGCTCCAAGATGAGCTGCTGCCTGACAAGCGGCAGTGGCAGCAGCAGCGTATCGGCCAGGAGGCACTGGCTGTGGCTGGGCCATATCCGATGTTTTTCACAGCAGCCATACCTGAAAAACGAAAAAGGCAATTTAGACGGACTCCGCAATGTAGGAAAAAAGCACGTACCTGCCTCCCAGCACACGCGGAACTCGTGCGGGCGCCCCTGCAGACGGAGCTGCAATGGTCAATGGCCATGCTCCGGCTCGAAGAAGTCCAAACTGGCCGACTGAGCGTGGCCCATATGGAATCCAAAATGCCACCATGTGCACGACACTTTTATATGCAGCGACTCCTGTCTGCATAGTGGTGTCCATAAGAAGCGGCAGCACAATCCAATAAGCCAGCGGAGGCGTCGTCGGATGCGGTCAAATGCCCATGCGAGGCTTATTGCGCATCAGCAAATGAATGCGTCGGCGCCTGTGTGGCGGCCTGTACATGGTGGCGGCGCCTGGCGCATAGAAAAGCGCGACCTCTGAGCGCAATTATCAAATCTGATAGCAATTTCGACATAAATCTGTAAAAGAAATATTTATAATTAGTTATATGTTAAGAAATTAATTTTTGCAAAAATGCGACTTACCTCTGTTAAAAAGTTTTCGATTTCCACGTTGCGACGGGAAAAAAAAAAAAATGTATATGCAGAGCACATGTAGTCAAATCTAACTGTATATTGCGTAGCGTTGCCACCTATGCAGTGTTGCCACACTGACAGTTTTAAGTTGTTAAAGCAATTTAGTATTATTAGGGAATTAGTACTTTTAGTCTTTTAGTATTTTAGTATAAGTATTTATTGTATTTAGTACGTAGTTCAATACAGACACATTCTATGTGTCTACAACTGTTTATAGAGTTAGGATACAATGTTGCCAAATAATGTTCTTATATGTTGCTAAAGTGAAAGTAATGGAAAAGAATAATAAAACAAGTCACGGAGGAATTTCATTCCACTGCTGACATATATTGTGCTCGGATGCACTCAACTAAAAAGCGGGCACAATAACTCGCGAAAACTTAATGCTGCTAATCGACAACCAGCCACCACAGATACAATGGCTAATTCTACCTGAGCTGCAGCACGAACACCTGCAGCGGCAGCATCAGGAACTAATACGGACGGCAGAGCCGGCCCCAGGGGCCATAATACAATCGGCTATAGATACCGATGAATTGCAACTAGAGCGCAGCCTTGATATGTTGGAGCAGGCACTGGGACAGGAGATGGATGAAGCGCTCATTATTGCAGGAAATAATATTCAAATTGAAATGCAGCAGCGGCTCGCAGACAATGAGTCAGTGCAGCTGAATACAAATGAGCTGCAAATGCAGCATGGCCAACGGCTATGCGGCAGCAGCACTAACAATACAAATGCTACTAATACTAACAATGTAAACAATGATAATGATAGTGATTTTGATAATGATGAATTTGAATTGTTCTTGTCAACTTACCTGCAGAAGAAGGCTGAATTGAATCCCTCGTTGGTACACTCAGTACAGCCTGGCCCGCTCTCCATGCGGCGGCAAAATAACTTATATCCCTCGCTGGTCTATATAGTACAGCCTGGCCCGCTCTCCCTGCGGCGGCAAAACGATCTACATCCCTCGTTGCAGCCTGAGACTGAGCCCGGCCCGCTTTCTCCGCGGTGGCATAACTATGTCCATCCAACGATGCAGCAGCAACTGCAGCCTGATTCGCTTCCTGAGCGGCGGCAAAACAATACAAATTCCGTGCAGTTGCCACTGGATTTGCCTGGGCTCATTGTGGAGCGCCTGGTTGACAGATGTCCAACGACGCAGCAGCTGATGGAGCCTGGCCCCCCTGAGAAGCTGGAAATGCAGCTGGTGCCTGTGCGGGGCAGCCTGGGCCATCACGGCCGCCATCGATGACCGAGCATGATTTGCAGCAACGACAATCGACGCCTGTAAAGCGAAAGGTTGAGAATTTAATGCTGCCTGCAAAACGTAGATGCACTTACCAATGGCGTCAATTCGGAGGCGACTGCAAGGGCCGCTCCAAGATGAGCTGCTGCCTGACAAGCGGCAGTGGCAGCAGCAGCGTATCGGCCAGGAGGCACTGGCTGTGGCTGGGCCATATCCGATTTTTCACAGCAGCCATACCTGAAAAACGAAAAAGGCAATTTAGACGGACTCCGCAATGTAGGAAAAAAGCACGTACCTGCCTCCCAGCACACGCGGAACTCGTGCGGGCGCCCCTGCAGACGGAGCTGCAATGGTCAATGGCCATGCTCCGGCCTCGAAGAAGTCCAAACTGGCCGACTGAGCGTGGCCCATATGGAATCCAAAATGCACACCATGTGCACGACACTTTTATATGCAGCGACTCCTGTCTGCATAGTGGTGTCCATAAGAAGTGGCAGCACAATCCAATAAGCCAGCGGAGGCGTCGTCGGATGCGGTCAAATGCCCATGCGAGGCTTATTGCGCATCAGCAAATGAATGCGTCGGCGCCTGTGTGGCGGCCTGTACATGGCTGGCGGCGCCTGGCGCATAGAAAAGCGCGACCTCTGAGCGCAATTATCAAATCTGATAGCAATTTCGACATAAATCTGTAAAAAGAAATATTTATTAGTTATATGTTAAGAAATTAATTTTTGCAAAAATGCGACTTACCTCTGTTAAAAAATTTTCGATTTCCACGTTGCGACGGGAAAAAAAAAAAAAAATGTATATGCAGAGCACATGTAGTCAAATCTAACTGTATATTGCGTAGCGTTGCCACCTATGCAGTGTTGCCACACTGACAGTTTTAAGTTGTTAAAGCAATTTAGTATATTAGGGAATTAGTACTTTTAGTCTTTTAGTTTTAGTAAGTATTTATTGTATTTAGTACGTAAGTTCAATACAGACACATTCTATGTGTCTAACAACATGTTTATAGAGTTAGGATACAATGTTGCCAAATAATGTTCTTATATGTTGCTAAAGTGAAAGTAATGGAAAAGAAATAAAACAAGTCACGGAGGAATTTCATTCCACTGCTGACATATATTGTGCTCGGATGCACTCAACTTAAAAAGCTGCACTCAACTTAAAAAAAACTTAAAAAACTTAAAAAATAAAAAAAAACCGAAAGGCTTGATTGCGCTCGGACGCACTCATCTATTTAAAACAAAAAAAAAATAAATAAAATAAAATAAAATAAATAAAAAAAAAGTCAATTAAACCAAACCAAACCAAAAAGAAATTAAAATCAAATAAAGACATTGCGCTCGTACAGTGCAAGTGCAATTTATGTGGCACACAAACACACATACTCGGCATATAAAATATATATTGTGCGCATATAAAATGGAAATGCGCTATCGAATCAACTAGTAAATATGGAACACAATGCAAATAAAAGTGGAAAGCCCTCTGAGGAGTGGCTAAATAGAGATCCTGGGATTGTGCAGGTGCAATCTGAGGATATAAATCGTGTGCATAATGAGGCCAAACGTCTTGGTTATGTGCCGGCAAATATGGCAGCCGCTGGCGTCACTAATACAAGTGCAGGTGAAAATGTGAAGCGCACAACAAGAGAGAAGTGAAATACAGGGTGATATTTCTGATGAGACTATCTTAACTTGCGAAAGTGCTACCTCAGCATTCTCTGAGACGGCGCTTTCTCATATGTTCTGTGATAGCGATGAGGACACTAACTGGACAAATGCTATAGTTGGAATTGAGAGAAGAGCGGTGGGAGCAGCAACAACAACTACAGGATCTACTTGCCAGCAAGTGCAACAACAGCAACAGACGCCAATTCTCGCGGCAGAAGTGCCGCTAAATGATCCGCCATTTCTGCCTGAGTCAACAGGGCAGCAGCAACTACAACAAGTACAAGAACAACCACTAGCGCAAATGTCATAGCTAACCTAGAAGGCAATGTTCCGCCATCTTTGCAAATGTCAACGCCTACGCTGACAATTACCAACACAGGTGACGCGCAAAAATTGGCGCCAACGCTAAGTGAATGTGCAACAGGCAACAACAACAACAAGTGGTCGCTTGCGTGATGCTGCTAAGGTGACAATGGCGGCAAAAAAATGGCGCTAAGCGTAGAGTGACTATGCCAATGAAGCAGCAGCGTAAAGTAATGGCCCTAATAATTTGCAAAATGCAATGCAATCTAACTTGCAGCCTATTGTTAGATTATACAATATTGCAAGACCAAAAAATAATTTAGCCAAAAATGCCATGCCCGGTGGGGAGGAAGGCAACATGAACATGGACATTGATGCCAACACCAGTAGTGATGGATATTCGGAGGTAATTATTTCGGATGATGAAGCAACAGAGCAGCAAATAGGCGGCAAGCAGGTAGCTAGTGAAGTTCAGGAAGCGCAACCGCAGTTAGGTCAAAGTATTAAAATTCCAACACTTTTTGTGCCCAATGTAAAAGAAATTCAGCCACTAATGGAGAAATTAAATAACGCACAGGGCGTCAATAAATTTACAACAAAATGTACCCAGGGTGATGGGATTAGAGTACAATGTAAAGATTTCAGCACATATAACGCCATATTGGGCTTATTAAATACAGAAAATATACCTATGCACACACACCAGCCGAGAAGTGAGCGTGGCTACAGGGTTATATTAAAACATTTGCACAGTTCGACTCCATGCGACTGGTTGCGTACCCAATTGGGAGAATTGGGTTATGTTGTCAGATACGTTAACGTCATGAAGCATCGATTTAGTGGCAAGCCATTGAACATATTTGAAATAGAGATTGAGCCAAGAGTGGATGGTAGTCATACAAAAATATGTAAATTAAACGAATTAGGTAATCAGCATGTCGCTGTGGAAAGACAACATAAAAGTGCTGACCCAGTACAGTGTCATAGGTGTCAGGCATTTGGTCACAGCAAAAACTATTGCCGTCGGCCATTTGTCTGCCTTAAATGTGCCGGTGAGCACCCAACAACAATGTGTGCCAAGGATAGGGACACAATGCTAATGCGCCAACTGTGGAGAGGGGCACATTGCCAGTTACAAAGGATGCGCTGTATTCAAACATGCGCAAAGTTTAATAAACATAATCGTATTCGTGGCCGGCAACAAAAAAAGCAGCAACAGCAGCAGCAACGAAATACAGTCAATATGCTCGTACAGCAGCAGCAGGCAACAGCAACAACAACAACGGCAACAAGTAGTAAATCAGCAACAACAGCAATGCAACGATGATAACACACAGCGACAACGAAACGTACAACAGCAACGGCTGCCGAACAATATGCAGTCAACGGTACGGTGCAACAAAAGCCTCCAAAGCAGCAGCAACGTCAGCCGGAGTCTCCAATACGGCAGCAGGCGTCTCAGCAGAGATCAAACCCGAATACAAATCCAAACACAAAAAGTATGACATACAGCCAAGTAGCCCGTGGTGTTGGTGGTGTTGTAAAATCCGTAATCCTGCATCAAGGCATCTTGAAAAGCTACAGGAGCAGCTTCGTATGGAGCAGCAGCAAAAAACGGCAGCAACAACAACATCCGTGGCAGCAACAGGAACACTATCGCCAAATCCAGCAGCGCCATCAAGAGCAGCGCCATCCTCAGCAGCAGCAGCGCAACCAAAACCAGCAGCAGCGTATCCAAAACCAACAGCAGCGCTTCCCAAGTCAACAAACCCAACAACAACAACAACAGCCCACGCGAATTGTACAGGTGCCAACACACAACGAGCAATCACAACAACAGCAGCAACACCAAACTCCGCAGATTGATTGTCCGCTTATGAGAGCGTTGGAGCGGAACGCCAATATCGTCGAGGAGATGGGTAAAAAGATTGATAATTTACTAAATGTATTATTTAAATTTGTCGCCAATACGTTTAAAAATGCCCAACCATTACATATGCCCATGCCTATACAGAATAGTACCATTGTAGAAAATAGACCTATTGATAGCGATTGTCAAATGGCAGGCAGCCACACTATGTATGAAGCCAATGACACGAATAATAATGAATAATCTGAATAGTAGCCCTAATAATTTGAATACAAACTTCTACCACTAATAGCAACTTAGATGCATATAGCGGCAATCAGGTAGGCAGCCCCTTTAGGATTGCCTACTGGAATGCTGCAGGGGGTGGGGAATAAGTTACTAGAATTAGAACTGTTTATCCAACGCCACAAAATTGATATAATGATGATAATAGAGACTCGTATTAATACTAGCGCAAATACAATTATTAGCTCGAATGTTTTGAAGATTAATGGGTACCTCACATACTTTGCTACCCATCCAGATAACTACAAAAGTGGAGGTGTAGCAATCTTAGTTAAAAATGATATTAAGCATATCGCTTTGCAGCCAATATCGGAAAATTTTATGCAGTGTGCTCCAATTGCCTTGATGAGTAGCGAGAGGAATAAAAATAGAATAATAATTGCAGCTATATACTGCCCACCACAGCCTAAATGGTCTTCAGAGCAATTTAGCAGGCTATTCAAAACACATAGACGATGGATGCAATGGCTCATCTGGCTTTATGCTATGTGGGGATTGGAACGCTAAGCATACCTGGTGGGGGCAATATACGAGGATGCAAACGCGGGAAGGCGCTAATGGATAGCGTACACAAGAATAGGCGCTATAATATCCTAGCTACCGGCGGGTGCCACTCACTATCCATATGACAGGCGGAAAATGCCGTCGGCAATTGACTTTGCCGTATATGGCGGACTACAAACTGCGCGACTAAGAACGTATACGACGACAGACTTAGATTCGGACCACTGCCTGTTCATATTGAAATGGGCATAGAAGGGCTAAATGTTGCTAATATGATGAAAGGAATCGTAAATATTGCTGCCAGTGAATGCGAACATAAAAAAGTTCCAAGAGTACTTAAATCGACGCATATTGCTAAACATTGAGATAAGATCAGGCCGCCGATATAGAGGACGCTGTTGACCATCTAAATAAGAATATATATGAGGCAGCCGCAGACCTCAATACGAGAACAACGGCATTGGGCAGGATATAAACTGTACCGACGAACGAAATAGCGGACAATATAGGCTTAATGGGCACTTACGAGGGCTGATAAAGATGAAGCAGGTATATAAAAGGCAATTAATATGCTTTTGCGTTGTCCGAATGCAAGAAAAATGTATAGACAAGTACAAAATCGGCTAAAGAAAAGAGCTATGTCTGTCAAAAGTGAATACTATGACTGAGTTATTGAAGCAGATTGATGTTCAGGATCGCTATAAAATGCAAAAATTATGGAGGCTAACAATAATTTGAAAAGGCAAGCCGCAACCAAATGGCCGCTAAGTTAGAGATAGCTAGTGGCAGTAGTTGTAGGAGAAACGGCAATATAACGTGGACAACGAAGTAATGAGGAGAAAGGCTGAAGCGTTTGCATGTCATTTGGAGAACGCTTCACACCAAATTCTGACAATACACAGGTTGTGCGTAACTGATTGCAGATGAGCTATAGAGCTAAAGCGAAAAAAGCTGGAGCAATTCGAAGAGAATACAGATAGTATTGTCCGTTCTGGCCATTTCCGTCCGATAAGTGTTAGCGAGACTATGCTAGAGATAGATATGCTAGAGTTAAATAAGTCTCCCTGGCATGGACAATATTGACAATAGGGGTTATTAAATCGTTGCCTGAGAAGGCGGTTTATATACTTAGTACTTATATTCAATTGTATATTGAGGTATGGGTTTTTTTCCTAGGCAATGGAAATGTGCAGAGATCAGTATGATATTAAAGCCTGGTAAAAGTACAGGAGAGATATCGTCATATAGACCAATTAGTCTACTAGCAGGTTTCTCAAAATTGTTTGAGAAACTGCTGCTGAATAGGCTATTCGAATGCAAAGAGTTTGCAAATGCTATACCAAGCCACCAATTTGGGTTCAGAAAAGACCATGGTACCGAGCAGCAGCTGGCCCGTGTGACTCAATATATATTGAATGCTTACGAGAAGCGACAATATTGCTCGGCTGTATTTATTGATATCAGCGAAGCGTTGACCGTGTATGGCACGCTGGGCTATTAGTAAAATTAATAAAATTGCTACCACTTGCACTGTACAACGTGCTGGAAAGCTACTTGGCTGAGCGAATATTTATTGTAAAATGCAACGACGGCATAAAGTCAAGGCCTGGAAAAGTGTGTGCAGGCGTACCCCAGGGCAGTGTGCTCGGGCCTATACTATATACAATATTTTCTTCAGACATGCCACTACCTAGACTTGTAATGAAAGAATATGCATCGTTCGAACCCAATAAGATGCAGCTGTCAACATATGCTGATGACACAATAGTTATGTGTGCATCCCAAAATATATTGGAGGCAGTGAATCTAAATGAAAAATACTTAATACATTTGATGCGTTGGGCAGAGAAATGGTGCATAAAGATAAATAGTAGCAAAACAGCGCATGTAATGTTTAGCACGCGGAGGCTGGATGCAACACTAGTAAGGCTGTGTCCAATGATAAATGGACAAACGATCGAAAATAACGGGCGGCACCGATACTTGGGCTTAGTATTGGATAGAAAACTGACACTGAATATACACATAACTCAGCTTTGCATAAGGCTGCGTGGAGTACACAAAAAGCTGGACTGGTTGCTGGGAAAAAATAGTAGGCTAGCTAGAAATTGCAAGGCTGTGGTATATAAGCAGCTGATCGCACCTATATGGCAATATGCGCTCCTGTATGGGGAGCACTGGTATCAAATTCGCAAATAAAAAGGATAGAAACAATGCAGAATAAAAATCTTGCGGGCATGCATGAATGCCAGTTGGTATACAGGAATCAGACGTTGAGGGATACGTATGGGATAAAAAGCGTAGATGAAGTATATCAGTTGGCTAGCGATAGATTTGCGAAGTCACTAAGCTGTCATCCGAACATTGAAGCTCGGAAACTGATACTAGAGCCATTTATACCAGTGCGGCTACTAAGGCCCAGGTACACGGAGCAATTGGATAGATGCATGGCGCCACTACGGCAGCAGCAGTTAACACAGCAGAGAGAGGTAGCTGAGGAGAGGTTGCCAACGCTGCTGCAGCTAGAAGAAGATGAGCAAGAGGCTGAAAGGAGGGCCGCTATGCTTGCCGAGTGGGAACAGAGGCGAGCTATGGGGCCACCAAAACGCTTTGATGAATGCACAATAAACATGCTTCGTCGCAAACTTAAAGCGGGCACAATAACTCGCGAAAAACTTAATGCTGCTAATCGACAACCAGCCACCACAGATACAATGGCTAATTCTACCTGAGCTGCAACACGAACACCTGCAGCGGCAGCATCAGGAACTAATACGGACGGCAGAGCCGGCCCCAGGGGCCATAATACAATCGGCTATAGATACCGATGAATTGCAACTAGAGCGCAGCCTTGATATGTTTGGAGCAGGCACTGGGACAGGAGATGGATGAAGCGCTCATTATTGCAGGAAATAATATTCAAATTGAAATGCAGCAGCGGCTCGCAGACAATGAGTCAGTGCAGCTGAATACAAATGAGCTGCAAATGCAGCATGGCCAACGGCTATGCGGCAGCAGCACTAACAATACAAATGCTACTAATACTAACAATGTAAACAATGATAATGATAGTGATTTTGATAATGATGAATTTGAATTGTTCTTGTCAACTTACCTGCAGAAGAAGGCTGAATTGAATCCCTCGTTGGTACACTCAGTACAGCCTGGCCCGCTCTCCATGCGGCGGCAAAATAACTTATATCCCTCGCTGGTCTATATAGTACAGCCTGGCCCGCTCTCCCTGCGGCGGCAAAACGATCTACATCCCTCGTTGCAGCCTGAGACTGAGCCCGGCCCGCTTTCTCCGCGGTGGCATAACTATGTCCATCCAACGATGCAGCAGCAACTGCAGCCTGATTCGCTTCCTGAGCGGCGGCAAAACAATACAAATTCCGAGCAGTTGCCACTGGATATGCCTGGGCTCATTGTGGAGCGCCTGGTTGACAGATGTCCAACGACGCAGCAGCTGATGGAGCCTGGCCCCCCCTGAGAAGCTGGAAATGCAGCTGGTGCCTGTGCGGGGGCAGCCTGGGCCATCACGGCCGCCTTCGATGACCGAGCATGATTTGCAGCAACGACAATCGACGCCTGTAAAGCGAAAGGTTGAGAATTTAATGCTGCCTGCAAAACGTAGATGCACTTACCAAATGGCGTCAATTCGGAGGCGACTGCAAGGGCCGCTCCAAGATGAGCTGCTGCCTGACAAGCGGCAGTGGCAGCAGCAGCGTATCGGCCAGGAGGCACTGGCTGTGGCTGGGCCATATCCGATGTTTTTCACAGCAGCCATACCTGAAAAACGAAAAAGGCAATTTAGACGGACTCCGCAATGTAGGAAAAAAGCACGTACCTGCCTCCCAGCACACGCGGAACTCGTGCGGGCGCCCCTGCAGACGGAGCTGCAATGGTCAATGGCCATGCTCCGGCCTCGAAGAAGTCCAAACTGGCCGGCTGAGCGTGGCCCATATGGAATCCAAAATGCACACCATGTGCACGACACTTTTATATGCAGCGACTCCTGTCTGCATAGTGGTGTCCATAAGAAGCGGCAGCACAATCCAATAAGCCAGCGGAGGCGTCGTCGGATGCGGTCAAATGCCCATGCGAGGCTTATTGCGCATCAGCAAATGAATGCGTCGGCGCCTGTGTGGCGGCCTGTACATGGCTGGCGGCGCCTGGCGCATAGAAAAGCGCGACCTCTGAGCGCAATTATCAAATCTGATAGCAATTTCGACATAAATCTGTAAAAAGAAATATTTATAATTAGTTATATGTTAAGAAATTAATTTTTGCAAAAATGCGACTTACCTCTGTTAAAAAGTTTTCGATTTCCACGTTGCGACGGAAAAAAAAAAAAATGTATATGCAGAGCACATGTAGTCAAATCTAACTGTATATTGCGTAGCGTTGCCACCTATGCAGTGTTGCCACACTGACAGTTTTAAGTTGTTAAAGCAATTTAGTATTATTAGGGAATTAGTACTTTTAGTCTTTTAGTATTTTAGTATAAGTATTTATTGTATTTAGTACGTAAGTTCAATACAGACACATTCTATGTGTCTAACAACATGTTTATAGAGTTAGGATACAATGTTGCCAAATAATGTTCTTATATGTTGCTAAAGTGAAAGTAATGGAAAAGAATAAAACAAGTCACGGAGGAATTTCATTCCACTGCTGACATATATTGTGCTCGGATGCACTCAACTTAAAAAAAAACTAAAAAAAAACTAAAAAACAAGTCACGGAGGAATTTCATTCCACTGCTGACATATATTGTGCTCGGATGCACTCAACTAAAAAAAAAATCAACTAAAAAAACTAAAACTAAAACTCAACTTAAACTTAAAAAAAAACTTAAATAAAAAAAACCGAAAGGCTTGATTGCGCTCGGACGCACTCATCTATTTAAAACAAAAAAAAAAAAAAAAAAAAATAAATAAAATAAAATAAAATAAATAAATAAAAAGTCAATTAAACCAAAACCAAACCAAAAAGAAATTAAAATCAAATAAAGACATTGCGCTCGTACAGTGCAAGTGCAATTTATGTGGCACACAAACACACATACTCGGCATATAAAATATATATTGTGCGCATATAAAATGGAAATGCGCTATCGAATCAACTAGTAAATATGGAACACAATGCAAATAAAAGTGGAAAGCCCTCTGAGGAGTGGCTAAATAGAGATCCTGGGATTGTGCAGGTGCAATCTGAGGATATAAATCGTGTGCATAATGAGGCCAAACGTCTTGGTTATGTGCCGGCAAATATGGCAGCCGCTGGCGTCACTAATACAAGTGCAGGTGAAAATGTGAAGCGCACAACAGAGAGAAGTGAAATACAGGGTGATATTTCTGATGAGACTATCTTAACTTGCGAAAGTGCTACCTCAGCATTCTCTGAGACGGCGCTTTCTCATATGTTCTGTGATAGCGATGAGGACACTAACTGGACAAATGCTATAGTTGGAATTGAGAGAAGAGCGGTGGGAGCAGCAACAACAACTACAGGATCTACTTGCCAGCAAGTGCAACAACAGCAACAGACGCCAATTCTCGCGGCAGAAGTGCCGCTAAATGATCCGCCATTTCTGCCTGAGTCAACAGGGGCAGCAACTACAACAAGTACAAGAACAACCACTAGCGCAAATGTCATAGCTAACCTAGAAGGCAATGTTCCGCCATCTTTGCAAATGTCAACGCCTACGCTGACAATAGCAACCAATACCAACACAGGTGACGCGCAAAAATTGGCGCCAACGCTAAGTGAATGTGCAACAGGAACAACAAGTGGTCGCTTGCGTGATGCTGCTAAGGTGACAATGGCGGCAAAAATAAATGGCGCTAAGCGTAGAGTGACTATGCCAATGAAGCAGCAGCGTAAAGTAATGCGCGCTGCTAGCTCTCTTGGCCCTAATAATTTGCAAAATGCAATGCAATCTAACTTGCAGCCTATTGTTAGATTATACAATATTGCAAGACCAAAAAATAATTTAGCCAAAAATGCCATGCCCGGTGGGGAGGAAGGCAACATGAACATGGACATTGATGCCAACACCAGTAGTGATGGATATTCGGAGGTAATTATTTCGGATGATGAAGCAACAGAGCAGCAAATAGGCGGCAAGCAGGTAGCTAGTGAAGTTCAGGAAGCGCAACCGCAGTTAGGTCAAAGTATTAAAATTCCAACACTTTTTGTGCCCAATGTAAAAGAAATTCAGCCACTAATGGAGAAATTAAATAACGCACAGGGCGTCAATAAATTTACAACAAAATGTACCCAGGGTGATGGGATTAGAGTACAATGTAAAGATTTCAGCACATATAACGCCATATTGGGCTTATTAAATACAGAAAATATACCTATGCACACACACCAGCCGAGAAGTGAGCGTGGCTACAGGGTTATATTAAAACATTTGCACAGTTCGACTCCATGCGACTGGTTGCGTACCCAATTGGGAGAATTGGGTTATGTTGTCAGATACGTTAACGTCATGAAGCATCGATTTAGTGGCAAGCCATTGAACATATTTGAAATAGAGATTGAGCCAAGAGTGGATGGTGGTCATACAAAAATATGTAAATTAAACGAATTAGGTAATCAGCATGTCGCTGTGGAAAGACAACATAAAAGTGCTGACCCAGTACAGTGTCATAGGTGTCAGGCATTTGGTCACAGCAAAAACTATTGCCGTCGGCCATTTGTCTGCCTTAAATGTGCCGGTGAGCACCCAACAACAATGTGTGCCAAGGATAGGGACACAATTGCTAAATGCGCCAACTGTGGAGAGGGGCACATTGCCAGTTACAAAGGATGCGCTGTATTCAAACATGCGCAAAGTTTAATAAACATAAATCGTATTCGTGGCCGGCAACAAAAAAAGCAGCAACAGCAGCAGCAACGAAATACAGTCAATATGCTCGTACAGCAACAGCAGCAACAGCAACAACAACAACGGCAACAAGTAGTAAATCAGCAACAACAGCAATGCAACGATGATAACATACAGCGACAACGAAACGTACAACAGCAACGGCTGCCGAACAATATGCAAGTCAACGGTACGGTGCAACAAAAGCCTCCAAAGCAGCAGCAACGTCAGCCGGAGTCTCCAATACGGCAGCAGGCGTCTCAGCAGATATCAAACCCGAATACAAATCCAAACACAAAAAGTAGGACATACAGCCAAGTAGCCCGTGGTGTTGGTGGTGTTAAAATCCGTAATCCTGCATCAAGGCATCTTGAAAAGCTACAGGAGCAGCTTCGTACGGAGCAGCAGCAAAAACGGCAGCAACAACAACATCCGTGGCAGCAACAGGAACACTATCGCCAAATCCAGCAGCGCCATCAAGAGCAGCGCCATCCTCAGCAGCAGCAGCGCAACCAAAACCAGCAGCAGCGTATCCAAAACCAACAGCAGCGCTTCCCAAGTCAACAAACCCAACAACAACAACAACAGCCCACGCGAATTGTACAGGTGCCAACACACAACGAGCAATCACAACAACAGCAGCAACACCAAACTCCGCAGATTGATTGTCCGCTTATGAGAGCGTTGGAGCGGAACGCCAATATCGTCGAGGAGATGGGTAAAAAGATTGATAATTTACTAAATGTATTATTTAAATTTGTCGCCAATACGTTTAAAAATGCCCAACCATTACATATGCCCATGCCTATACAGAATAGTACCATTGTAGAAAATAGACCTATTGATAGCGATTGTCAAATGGCAGGCAGCCACACTATGTATGAAGCCAATGACACGAATAATAATGAATAATCTGAATAGTAGCCCTAATAATTTGAATACAACTTCTACCACTAATAGCAACTTAGATGCATATAGCGGCAATCAGGTAGGCAGCCCCTTTAGGATTGCCTACTGGAATGCTGCAGGGGTGGGGAATAAGTTACTAGAATTAGAACTGTTTATCCAACGCCACAAAATTGATATAATGATGATAATAGAGACTCGTATTAATACTAGCGCAAATACAATTATTAGCTCGAATGTTTTGAAGATTAATGGGTACCTCACATACTTTGCTACCCATCCAGATAACTACAAAAGTGGAGGTGTAGCAATCTTAGTTAAAAATGATATTAAGCATATCGCTTTGCAGCCAATATCGGAAAATTTTATGCAGTGTGCTCCAATTGCCTTGATGA